CAATTTGAAAAGTCTTTTCTTAAGTTATTTTGGTATGAATTTGACATAATAGAGTATAGGTAATTTTCGAAACACCGAAGTTACTAGAGAGTCTTCTGCTAATGATCCTGGCGATGGGTATCTGAAGTAATTGTCAACTAAGCCCCAATTTTTTCGACCGGCAGGATGGGATTGGATGAGAGCTACTTTGACTCGACGGGCGGTACATGTGTAACAGCAACACCACATACGACTCTATATGTGCTCTACAGGCGGATGCGCGCTTATGGTTACTAAACCTTACTTAGTCGACTATTTTGGTTACATCTAGGACGGGCTAAGGATAGATACCGACACTGTAGTTAGGCAGATTGTAACATAACCTTATGCAGAAGATTGATACCCGAGAGTTAACAATTTCCGATCACTACGGCTACCTACTTGCCTACGTCGACCGCACCTCGTGGGGGCGGTTTCGCAGCCTTTCAACATTTCGACGGACAGCAACCCCTGAGTACTCCGTCTGCGCCACAGAATCGCATACATAGTACTATCACTGCTTTGCTGTGAAATTGGTCCCGTATGTCTGCATAAGTCGAGCTGCGGCTCTCGACAGCAGACCAACTGCTGTATACTTATTTGCCGAAGGTCTACGATAATTAACTCAGTTATTTACTGTGTAAAAGATAATCGTGAGCAAACCCCGAGAGTTTTCTCAAGAAAGCGGAATTTGCCGAGCTATCACGTTATAAGATATTCGTAACGTTTTTCAAAGCAAAGCTAAGCAAGCCGCACCAGTCGCCAAAAACCATACTGTCGGGACTTAGCTATATTACGTTCTACTACTAGCCGTCTCAGAATCTCTTTCGTGCGATCTACGTATCCGAGGCCCTGGATTGGTAGGTACTTCGTAGATTAATATGTAAATATAAAGAGTTACGAAAAAGCTATATCCTTGTCACAGCCGCGTTCTCCCCTTTTATTAAAGAAAGGCCTTTTAGTAAGTAATTGAATAATGTTGGAAACACGTACATATACAATTATAATTTTGAAACTGAAATATAGTAGTTAATGGAGAGTTGAACTAGGTTAGGTAGTTAACAATTAATTGTATGTATGAATTGCCCTTGCATTAGGTATTTTACTGAATAAAATGTTTATTAAGTGTCGAACAATTGCGTGAGATAGAAAACGGTATTGCACTTTGAATGTAGTAAAAATAAGGTATTATTAGTTAACCCGTACTAAGAAGATCAACACCATTACCTAAAGTTATGGTGTTGTCCCTTGCCCAGCCACCCCGTCGCTGCAAGACATCGATAAGTCTGTGCAGTCTGTGCTGGAGGGTGTAATTGCCAATCAATGGGCATAGATCGATCATTTTTGTACTTTGTATTTTGTACCTCCGGAGAGGCGACCCGACGCGCCGGTATGCAGGTACATCTACTAGCTGCGAAACAGAAAACAGGTATCTTGGAATTTCAATTGAAATCTCAAAATGCTTAACCCTCCCCTCAATTCGCTACATACAATCGCTATAATTCGCTAAACCCCTCTATCACAACCTGACTAACCTAGGTGTATACCCCAAAGCAAAGTTGTATGCCCTAGGTTAAGTTTCTTAACTTTTTATATTTTTCTTTTTAGAGGGGAATAAAATTAGGTATTAATGGTCATGACCCATTCACCGCTTTAAATTATCAGTAACTTTTTAACTGCGGGTAAGAGATATTATGTTGGGGATAGGGAGATCTTCTATCACGTCTCCACGTCTGTCGTGACAGAAAAAGGAAGATCAAAATGTATTCGAGTGGTCACGTCCACAGTGTCGGGATCCGGGATCCTCTCAGATGTGCTGTTTGGCGTCCGCCTGCAGGTACGATAAGTTACGCAACGATGCTGGATGTTTCTCGCTGCCAGCTTTTCGTATGAGACAATCTGTTCCATGATGGCGGTCTCTCAGGGGAATGAAAGGGCTCTCGCACGTCTCCACAACTGCTCGTGGCTTACAGCTCACAGCTCACAGCTCACATACAGCTTCCGCTTTCTTCAAAGCTCATTTTTTTTTTCTGAATTTCATCAGCGTATCAGCCCTTTAAATGCGCCATCCACGCTAGGAATCCTCCTTGATGCTGATGTTGGCCATGGCTGTTTTATCGAATATCCTTCGTATGTCTAGAATGGCATCTAAAAATGACATCTGAGAATAGAATCTGGGAGTTTAGATCAATCTTATCGCGCCATCTTCACTTCTACCCTGGCACGGACCCATGTTGTCGCCCAGCCAGCCTCCCCTGATGAAACCACGGGCTGATATCCTTGCCGCAGAGCCCTCCCACGCTAGAGGCATGCTCCGTTCTGTACCCACAGACCTCCCTACAATAGTCTAGCCAAATCGACCAGCAAACTTTTTGAAGTCTATTCTCAACGTTCAAGATCCAAACGGGGATCTCATCAGACCCTTCACACGCTTCACGTCATCCCTACTCCTTGTCGACTTGTTGCTAACGTCAAAATCTCTATACCCCGGGGGCTTCTCCGCTCAGATCCCCCTCCGTACCCATTTTCATTTGCGGCTCATTCTAATAATAATAAAAATTAGAATTCGCAATCTTGAGGAACTAGGACAGTGTTTAACTGAAATAGGTATCTCATTACCACCTGAATTCATCTACCGTTGCACTTGGCCCCACAGGTTTTTGGTAGGTAGCACATTATCAGCCTACGGCTCATTCGGCGCAGATTCCCACAACCCCATCACCAATTCGGGTGTCCCTTGATTTTTAGCCACTTAGCGCGCTTCTTTGTTTGCCTTCTCATGGCGGTCCTCAGATCTGAAGCTGTTAGTGTAGGTGCTTTGCATACTGTAGTTCCCTCGAAATCTCCCGTACTTCTCATTCACTGCCCGTAAGACCGTCGAGCTCGTAGCATAGGATATTCATTTCAGCTACATCACTTCAATCGGTGTGGAAGGTTCTGTCGATCATATTTTACGTCCCATATGTGATGATAGGGACGATGAGCAGAATGCCAATCTGCCCACATCGGCTCACTGTTCTTAATAAGCATCAAAACGCGGGACGATGACAGGTGCTCTGCATGGCCTGTCCTGTCTGTGCGAGGTACATATGTTGTACTGTCATTCGGCAAGGAAGATCTTATGGGATCTTCCCTTGACCCCCCTGTCGCCACCGCCAGGGCAAGCATCACAAATCGATACCCCTTGCTCGCTGTCCGGCCCACATTATTCGCAGGTTTACTTCCCTACCGATTCGGATGCGATCCTCCAACACTTCTGTACTTCTTGTACTTCTGTACATGGGCATCTTAACCATGGACCAGTCCTCCAGGCCGTCCCCGCAGGCGTCGAGGACCACACCCACCCAGAAGCGTTGATCTTCCTATTGGCGTGAACCTCCACTAGTCTCATCAACGGTCATGCGTTCATCCGCGAAGTCTACGCTAAGCTAATGTAATGAAAGGCCAATTACCAGCTCCCAGATGTCCCAGCCGAGATGTTATGTTTTCCTTATCCTGCCCTCTCTCCGAGGATCATGCTTACCGCTATACCTCAGTTTTGTTCATATAGCATGAATTTTGACTTGAGGTACCTAGCGTAGGCTGTGTGGACGACCTCTCGTCGTCTTAGCCGTGCCGTATTCCTCCTCTGTTTCGTCTGGATCTAGCCTAGTCGTTGGGTACACCAAAAAAGATTTCCCGATTTCGAACCTGTGAACAGAAATTGTGCCTAGCAGTATAGCGGCTGTCTTTCCGTAGTTACTACTCTTGTATTGACGTTTCCGGTTGGGGTCTACAACGGCAAGGGTTATCTGTTGGTCCTTTGGCAGGCCACCATAACACGGCATTAGCCATTCAGCCGAGAAACCCCAATGGTCACGGCCCACTCGATATAGACGTTGCTACATCTCTACTATCATCCATGACGGAAAAGATGTGTGGCTCAGCAGTTACCATGCTGGGGGATTTTTTCTTATTACCACACCTAGCCTATTAAGCGTGCGGCTTCTGACCTGACGAGCCTTAAAACGTGCATTCAGTCCCTTTTCAATATCTCTACCGTATCTGGCCAGGTACCGTCCCAGGCTGACCCAACACCCACGAACACCCTCTTCTCCAGCCCGTGCAGACCCTGTCTCTTTTCTTCGGACCATCCCTGGGCATTTCTCCGTAAGGATGGGATGTACCATTCGGTATTAATTCCACCTCTGTCATCCTCAAGAGCAGGGGTTTCCTCGAAGGCGTCTCGTTGCGACCACGGTCAACCTTCAAAGCCCAATACATACATAACACAAGGCCTGCCGGTGTCTAGACGTTTTGAGGCGACCGACCCCACCATCATTCGAGGATTCTCGATTTATACACGACCCGTCATAGAATTAAGAAGGACAGCCTCCAAGATTATTTCTTTCCCTTCATAACATATACATTTTGGCTTCATATCTATGCCTCGCAACCCTCTTACCATCCAACCTTGTCGGTGACAAACAAGCTCAACAACTAGGACCGTACTACTACAGCTTGCGTCTCCTGACTACCTTCCCGACGATTCGATATATATTCAGCTCGTACTTGTTAGTTGAGTGCCTACTCAGTGGGCTTTTGGGTGCCAGTATCTAATTTCGTCTACGACAACCCCTAAAGGAGACACTTCGGCCGTATATCCAAGAAGAACCTTCTTTAGCAACTACTCTAGATTCTCATAGCAGACATATGCGATTTCCTTCAGCAATATTAGAAGATATCTAAATACTACGGGTCGTCTGAGGTGGCCTACTACTGGAGCCTTAGTAATCTCGTCTCGCAGTTAGGACAGTACTTGATTTTACCATTAGCCTAGGGCCCAGAAGCTATTTTTCTGGCTTTGCTGATACCTTGTCGAGCATTTACCGTGGAAGAGTTGGTTTTCTTTGGGACCACTTTGAACGATATACTTCGGCAAGTAGCTCCCCTAGCTTTTGGAATCACATCGCCTCCGATACCCAACCTCTACAATATTTCCAATGCTCGTTACCAGGCATCTCGATACAGAGCAGCACCACTGGTCTAGCAAACTTGAGACCGCCTTCCATAAATCTACAAGCCCACGCATGTCGAGCTACGACGGCCATTTGTCGACACAGCCTGATTGGCAGGGGCAATACGCTTTTCTTCCTCCCGGAGAAGGTAGCATCTTCGCACAGTCCTTCGAGCAAGTTTCAGGCTCTAACAGTAACAACAATGTCGCTTCTCAGCAGCGCCCTTCAAGTGCGCAAAACAGCAATCCTGAGAACACAAGCCAGACAAATCATAGCCGCATAAACTCGCCGATGAGCCACCATCGTATATTAGACCCTCTTGGACTTCGGCAACCAAAAGCCGAATCACCTGTACAAGAACATCCCGACGTTCAGGGTGCGAGCTATGCTATAAAGGCTGAGTCTGCGCATGAAGAGTCATTGGCTTCGGCGGATCACCAAGGGTTGCACCTCGGACAGAATACGATAAGCTCAACGTCGTCAGCAGGTCAAGATCAGGAACCCGCGTCTATTCCAGCTGGAAACGAAGAGGCTGCTATTGGGAAAGATGAAGATGATGATGTACTGGAAGACGACGAGATGGTAGAAGCCGATGGAGATGTCACGACGCAACCCCAGACTGCAGCAGAGCGCACAGCTGCCCGGCGGAAAATGAAGCGTTTTAGGTAGGAAATGATGGTGTAGTGGGTCGTAAACTATGCTGACAATAAGTAGGCTTACGCATCAACAAACCCGGTTCCTCATGAGCGAGTTCGCAAAGCAGCCGCATCCAGATGCTGCCCATCGAGAACGTCTTTCAAGAGAGATCCCCGGATTGAGCCCCAGGCAGGTTCAAGTCTGGTTTCAAAACAGGTAAGACTACTGAGGTAACCTTTTATTTCGAAGAGAAGCCTAAACAATTACAGGAGAGCGAAAATCAAGAGACTCACAGCTGATGACCGGGATCGAATGATCAAAATGCGTGCTGTGCCAGATGACTTCGATAATGTCCAGGCATTACATTCTCCTTATGGAGCTGTGCACGGACTGGGAACCCCGATCACACCTCCTGTTGACTTCGGGGCTTCATCGTACACAGAACATATTATGCGGCCACTGATGGTAGACGGCATGCGCCGAGGGGATAACGACGACCATATGTCCTCTACAGGTATGAGTCCGGCTTTTGGAAGTATCGGCTTTACGTCTTCAGGGCCGATGAACAGCTCTGATCTTCTTTCACCGCTGTCGCAATCTTCAAGTGATCGAGGTTACTATTCTAGTCACCTAACAGGCCCTCTGGGAGGAGCCCACAGGGCTTCAAACCCTTTCGCCCGGCAAAATAGCCTCGACTCCGGTGTTCAAATGCATTCGCAAAATAGACAGCAAATCCGACCCCTGCAGCCACTTCAGCTTAGAGAGACATTATCTCGGTCGAGACCAGAGAACCTCCAATCTCCCCTGCGCTCGAGCATGTCATGGAAGGGGGATGCAATCGACTACAGCACGTACTCAAATACCGGTGGTAGCCCTGGAATCGGAGGACGACATCAATCTATCTATCAGCCGGACCAGATGGGAAGTAACTCAACTAGTTCACTGAACTATGATTCTAGCTCTTATTCTGGTAAGGAGGGACCTTTATTTGTAACTTATTTAATATCGGTCGCTAACTTCCTACACAGCCCCGGGTGTCCAAACCTCTCCTACCAACATTAACTACTCGAGCCTACAGCAGCCTTCGCAGAATAGATCACGCCTTAGAGCTGCTTCCGCCACTCTTCCGCTCGGTCTAGATCTCCGACATCAATATCGACCCATGTCTTCTAGTCACAGTCTTCAGTCTCCTGGTCATTCGTCTACTCCTCGAGTTCCTACCTCTTCACCCTATGGGTCATCATCTGCATACACTACGAGCTTCCCGTCTGCTCCGCTATCGGCGCCAATCGACTTCCCGCTATCAAGAACACCTGGAATTAATAGAACCTCGGTTCAGGATTACTCCATGTCTCAGATGAGCGCGCCAATTGCACCCCCTCAGGACTTCACCCAAGCGCTACATAGTGGTATAGGTAGTTCAAGTTCTAGGACTCCTATGAGAGATTCATTTGGAGGTGGCCCTTTGAACGTTAATCAGGGGCAGGGGTCCGGTGAGAGAAGCGAAGACTATTCACAAGACGGATCTAGCTCGAGTTTAAAGCGCAAACGAAGCTCGTTCAGCCTCTCGCAGGGTGGACACACGCCTGGACCAGCCCAGACCTCTCAACCATACGGACACACAACTTGAGGGATGCGCCACTTAAAAGTCGTACTCCTCGAAATTATAAGCATGAAGTACTGTAACACAGAAAACTCGAAAATAATGCGGCGCTCTTCTGGTTCGATTTTTGAAAATAATACCCGGTTTTTTAAGGACCTTTCTAGACTATCTTGTGTTACTATATACATTTTTTATTCATTTTCTTCTTTGCATTTTTTTTTAGGGGTGGATGCGCGACAGCGCCATGACAGGTTTGGGGAGTATTTTGTGATTGGTTTGGCGGGACCAGAATGATTTTGTTTACGACCTGAGAAAAGAGCATAACATACATACACGCATACATAGGTACTGAAAGGAGGGCACGACTGGTGGGACTTTGGGACGGGCTTGTCGTGTGGTCGGAGATGGGTGAATTCGAGCGAGCATATTTTTCCACCGTTTAAGGCGCAAAAGTACCCTTTGCCCATAAGATGTACATAGAAACATCTTTGATCGAGACGTATTCTCGTGTTCAATGCAAAGGTTCTGGATCGCGAAAGCGAACCGAGCTAATGAACAACATGATCACATTTGTTGATTGTTGAATCTCTAGTGCTCATATGGAATTTTATTTTACTTGTAGTGTTTTTTTTTCTTGTCGGGCTTCCTGTATAGGGATGCACGTAGTGGCATAAGTGATGTGATTACTACATAGCTTAGATACCTCCTGTATGAAGCTTGGTACCGATCCGCATTCCAAATTCTAACCTTCTCCGCAAATCTTCGTCGATCTATGTTGAGGCTCACGACTAGTAAGGCATGAAAGTCGTCTCCCGGTATACATCTTGGGCCAAGGCGGCCCAACGCAAACAACGAGGGAGATACTTACCGAGGGTATGCGCCCTAGCTTACTACTACTACAGTACGCTGGGTTGTCTATCTGCCTGCCTTATAGCGTACATAGCGTACACGGTCAAGTTGTAGTAGCGTGGAGAAAGAGGGTTTTGCCCCTAAATTCGGAATGTAACGCCGATAGATGGTAAATCTCGTTTTGGAGAGATCTCGTTCCACTCAGAATTCCCCGAACACGTTTTAGCAATTAATAAGGACGGCCCTCCCTACCCAGGCAGCGCCTTCGATGCGACATTGCGGATGTTAGACAGCTAACTATCTCCCTCTCTTTATACCTTCTCATTTTATTTTGTTTTAAATCCATTTCCGGGTGGGCGGGTGTTGGTCGTGCAGGCAGAAGAGAGATGGTATGGATATGGATATGGTTGACTACCTAGGGAGGGGTTCTCTAACTTACATGATAACTAACAAGTATTCCGGAAGAAAAGAGGAAGTGAAAAATAAAATAAAAAAATAAGCGGATCCCTATAACACGGACCTCCTCATCTTGCTTAATAGGTAGGTAAGGTACCTAAGAAAAGAAGATATCTGAAAGCAAGGAGTTATTATATATGTAACAAACAAAGACTATCATCAAACGTCTACAAGGGGTCTAAACATTCATATGATATAAAACTTCTTCTCCATGACAAGAAGAAGATGATAAGAAGTTTCCTGGGATATCCCATCTTCTCATCTCCTAGTGTTATGCAAGCATCGCAGCGAAAGGCGCGGTAACAAGCTCTCAAGCTATGGACTGCGTTACATGGATGCACCCGGGGTGCTTAGAAGAAAAGACCAATAATGGTTAGGAGAGTCCCAAAGCTGACAACTGCATGATGGGTTGCACAAGACGCAGCCCGTTGCATACGAAAGGGATGGTATTTATGACGGCTGCTGCGTCTGAGTGCGACCCTCCCACCACTTAAACCACCTAAGCCTGCCAAAGGTATACCAAGGTAGACAGACCTGTTGTATATGTAGTATATGTAGTATATGCAGTATAATGCTATGCAGGAGGAGGAAGGAAAGCATACGTACGGCGCAGTGCAGTGAGACCCTGTCGGGAGCTGGATCTTAGTTCTGTGGAAGACAGCACAGGGACCCGAACGCTGTGCCAGATACCACGACATAACGATTGGTTCAGATCTTCGGGCGCGGGAAGGACTTTGCTGGACCGGGCCATAGTCCCCCAACATCGAGGAAGAGGAGGGATATTCCCGTCAAGTAGGTTGAACAAGCAGCAAGTAGCAAGTAGCAAGCATCAAGCATCAAGCATCAAGCATCCACCTTTCTATTATATTATATACCACGACTTTTACACTACCTACCAACATTGTATACAAACAATATAACTATTGAATGTGTATAACATAGCATAGCATAACATAATATAGTAGCCTATGCCATCTATGTCATGTCATGTCATGTCATGTCATGGCTGCACCGCAGATGCTTGCCGTCGCTCGCCGGTAAAGCTACCTAGTTGTAGGTAGTCGTTGTTATTTCAAAGCTTAGCCTAGGGCAGAGGAGTAGATTCCGGCCAAGGATTCCCGGTACAACGACCGTGCCCAAGACAGATAGACAGCTGCGCTGCGACGCTTAAGATCGCTCCGATATTTTTGGCTAGACGGTACGTTCAGCGCCCAGCTCCTTCGGGACTAGGCCCCGGACAGCACAGCCATCGGTAGTTTTGTCCTGGTCCTGGTCCTGGCCCTGGTATTATAGAGAAAAAAAATAACAGGATGAGTTTTTGCGTCATCCCGCGCTGAACGACAACGACACATCGAGTTGCAGGAGAGGCTTTTGGCCCCCTAACCCTACTGTTGGTGGTTTTTTTTTTCTCTTCTTCTTCTCTCCCACCGTTCAACCACTCGTCGAACAAGAGGCTAGACTACAAATTTTATCCTCGCGTCTATCTCATCTGCTCACGGATTCAATCCGTCCATGTCTACCTACGTATCTTTGCAGACGCATACAACATCAGCAGCAACAGCCGAATCTGACTGCGGCTAGATTCAATCAACGTGTCTCTGCGTCTAAGAGGTTCTCTTAGCACTGTCGTGTTCTTCTGTTATTCTTCCGTTTTGACTTCGCTACGCTCACGGCTTATACACACCCATCTATGGCATACACCCCCCCCTCATCAAGCCACAGGCGCAAGCGCGCGCTGGCGATCGGTTCTGGACGATTGATCTTGATCGAACAGGCCTAGCCGGCTACTGCGTTACTGCGTACCTAACATAAACATATACGTACCTCTGTCAATCAAGGTCGCGGGTCCGACTGAAGCCACAGTTTGGTTCGTGTTATGCACCTGGCCGTGGCAGCCGGAGGCAGGGCTATAAGATGTGCTGCTATATCCCCCCACTCGTTCCACTATTCCTCGAGTCCTGATTTCCCCTATTGAGATGCAGTGATTCCCATTCCCGTCGTAGCCTTGCCTTTTTCTGTACAGGTAGGTTACTAAGGTAGGATAATGATGTACTGGATATGTCACTAGAAACGTGTAGATACAAAAGTACCATGACACGACGTAGTTGTACATATCTCATATCTTTATCTCGCCTACCATACCCTCCTCTAGGCTCTCGTACGAATGCACGGGTGATAGACGTGCAGAGGGAAAATCCAGGAACGTGATCATTTTAGTCAGACTCGGTGAGGTTCTAGGCTTGCTTCATCTCACAACGAGTCTCCAATCTGCGAATCTCGTTTATTACACCACATTAAATGACTCAGCAATCCCATACCGACTGGCCCCTCACCTTACCTACCCGCAGAATGACTGCATCCCCGGAATGGACCCCTAAGTACTACATATGCCCTCGTATATTACATATGCCCCTATCCAAACTTCCACGGATAGAAAGGCAAAAAGGAACGACACAGTCAGCCGTATGAATAATGACAATGACTTCAGCCTTGAAAAGCTACGGAGCCTCGCCGAACGGTCATCTATGCTCCTAGCTTGTTAGCCAGGAACCAACTAGGTAGACTCGCTAGGATGAGAGATCGCCCGCCATTTAGGCAAAAGGTGTGGAATGACAGCATATGGGGCCCTGGGAGCCAGCCAGCCAGAGAGCCGAGACGATAGCTAGGTCTGGCCTTACTGGACCCGTATCTTTACCTAACCGGATTGAAAATTTCCGGTGAAGCAGCGGTGGGGGGAAAAAGCGAAAAAAAGGGCAAAGTGGGAGAGAGCAAAAAAAAAAAAAAAGAAACCCCCATACGTCGAATGGAAGCCTCTCTCATTCTCGTTTCCGCGGGGGGCAAGGGTAAGGGACGCCGCATAGGGGTAGAACGACCCAAAAATCCCACGATGCCGAACGGTGGGAAATTCCGAAAAGGATCAAGGGTCGACAAAGGAGAGGTCGGGGCCCCGGAACGACGATCTCCAGAAACCGGTTCCTGGAGGCTAGAGCCTAGATGCAGTTCGGCACTTTTTCATCAGTGGCTGAGGGCAATGTCTAGGTGGATATCTACCTAACCTATCTACCTATACCTATCTCTCGAGCGTCTACTGCTGCTGTATACCTGTATACGTAGAAACGGTGTCTGAGCGGTTTACCGGACTAACACATTCTAACCCCCCCCCCTCCCCTTCTTGACCGGCTACCTAGGTATTGATGTACATTATCTGCTGTTACTCGCTAATGTGACCTGCCCCAAAGCTCTACCGAAGAATGGTAGGTTGTCATCGGTTCGTTATTCGTGGTCTATCACTGAAACGAGTGGCGGCGCCAGGGGGCTGCTATGCGAGCAGCGTTCCGCGCCGGGGACAGGCCATCTCGGCCACGAAGCCCGGTCGCGGGCCTGACTTTGTCCGAATCAATAGGGGAAGGGGGGCGGCCGAATTCTAACACCCGCAAGACAATCCTTGGTGTCTCTCCTATTGTGTAGGTATGTATGTATGTGTTAGGTTAGGTAGCCAGCTCTATGTACCTTGTATGCGTATTATGTCTTCGAGACAGAATGAGCAACACATCGTATCACGCCACCGATATGTAGAGCCATATTATAATGTGCTTGCAGATGGATGACGATAACCGTGCAGCTGTTGGCGCCTGCGGGCTTGCTTGTGTGCCCGGTTCTTTCACGTATTTTCCTGGGTACCCGACTCGGCTGTAATGCATTAGGGTTGGCCTGTCTGTCTT